TATTATTATTATTATTATTATTATTATTATTATTATTATTACTGGTGTTATATGGTAGCTGAACTTACTAAGTGGCACTTGGTCGGTGAAATACCAGTAAGGCCCTGAGCTATTCCAAATGGGACAGAGGCTGCATCGATGCTGCAAAATTAATGCAGCTTAACACCACTTTAAACTGCCACGGCTCCATCACTAGAACTTTCTGACAGAGAAGGCTAAATTTCTCCAAAGCAAAACAAAACAAAACAAAACACCACCCTACAAATCCCAGAATTCCATACCACTGAGCCATGGCAGTTAAAACCGTGTCAAACTGCATTAATTTTGCAGTATAGATGCAGCCAGAATAAAATTTACCTCTGGCGAATGTGCTATTCCCTCAACTGTGATGCTAGAACTCCTCTCCCCAAACCCCACCAGCTCAGTTCTTAACATCACAAGCCAGCCAAAATAATAATTCATCTAGTATCTCTAGAAGACACACACACACAAAAAAAAACCAGGTTTCCACCCATCTTATTTCCCCCCTGCTAACTGTGGAAAGAGAGTTTGGGAATGGACTGTATACCAGTGCAAGCTACAGCTTAACCAAGCTTCCTTTTGAGACATTGGCACACCAAAACACAACAGACAGGAAGAGTCCCAAGTGCAGGAAGCGTGAGCCAGGGTAAATGGGGATGGGGAGGAAGGAAAAACACAGGAGCCCATGAGCATGAATTTTGCTGGTGGGTGCTGAGAGAAAGGAGAGGCTTACTTCCAAGAATGCAGGTCAGCACTTGAGCAAGACAGGGCAACCAGTTGTTATTGTGTGCCTTCAAGGTTTTTTTCCAACTTATGGCAACCCTAAAGCAAACTGTATGAGATTTTCTTGTTCAGAGTAGGTTTGCCTTTGCTTTCTTCTGAGGCTGAGAGAGTGTGATCACCCATGGCTAGGTGGGGATTCAAACCCTGGCCTCCAGAGTTGTAGTTCAATACTCAAACCAATACATCATGCTGGTTCAATGTGTAGCCTTGCAGAATGCTGATAGATAGCCTTAGCCATAGGCAAAAGCTATTGTTATGGGGAGGGGCAAAATGAAGGCACTGAGCCCCAAATATGAAATATGACCCCAGATTGAATTTTCCTTTCAATCCCCAAATTGCTAGCATTGCAAAGAATGTGACATTGAAAATGGTTCACGCCTATATATTTGCTGTGTTCACATTCCCTTAGTCCAGGGGTAGGCAACCTTTCCCCTTTAAGGGCCGAGGGACTTCAGCTCCCAGAAGCCTCAGCCATGTTGGCCAATAGTCCCATGTTGGCCAATAGCTCCTGGGATTCTGGGAGCTGAAGTCCCTCGGCCCTTAAAGGGGAAAGGTTGCCTACCCCTGCCTTAGTCACTTTGCCAGGCCCCTTTACTTTAGGTGCTTAACTATATTTCTAAAAGCTCAACCAAAATTTTACATTGCTCCAATGCTTGTAATTTGGGGACTGAAAGAACACTGCATTGGGGAATAGAATTCTTCCTGGAGGGCTATGCTCTCATTTTACCCCACCTGTAGCTACACTCCTGGTCACAGGGATCATGGGAGATGCAGTCCATCACATTTGGAGGTTCACATTTTGGCTGCCCATGAACTTCAAACACAAAGCAGGCCCTGATGCCTTATTTTCATTCTCTCCCTGCCTCCCTTGCTCTTCAGAACCCAATGCCATGACCAAACAGGGAAGGTCCTTCACTATCCCACCCACCAGATCCTCCAAGATAAGCATACAAGGCAAATCTCTCCCTCTCTCTCTCTCTCTGTGTGGCAATGGGGTCTCCCATTCCTTCATTCCTGAGCTGGGGTTCAAACCAGTGAAACCAAAATTCAAGTCCTCACTGAGATGTGAAGTTCAATGGGCAACCCTTAGGCCAGTCACTGTATTTATGCTAACCCACCTCTTAGGGCTGTTGTTGTGAGGATAATAGGTGGAGAAAGTGAACCCCACATACTATCCTGGAGGAAGACTGAGATGTAATAAAGGAAAAAAAATGGGCAAGTAGAACTGGTTAGAGTAGTGGTACATTCCCTCCCTCCTTATGAGGAAGCCAGGAATCAAAAGGGACCGGCACACTAAACATGGAAAATGAAACAGAAAGATGTCATACTAATTTGGAGAGAATTATTCTGGGAACCAAGGAGGAGGAAGGTGAAAAAAAAGAAAACAGGCTGTTTTATTACATGCAATGCAAATACTGTAAATATAAAACCAAGCACTGAACTAGTAAATCTGAATTGTTCACTGGTCTTAGCTTATGCACACTGTGAAACATTCTAGAAAATGTAAACTGAAATTAGAGTTACCAGGACCTTAGGGTCCACACATTCTCCTCTTCTATTTAGACTCTGTCCGTTCTCTCCTCTGCCCCAACTCCTTCCATTAGGGGAAAGGAAGATAAGGCACAGATAAACAATGCCTTTTGATCACTAGCACAGTTTTGTGGCATGCTATGGCCATAATCCAACATCCCTTCCGCATAGCATAAATATCCGTAAATATATTCGGCACTAGCAGTATGCAGCTGCAACCCCCATATACATTATCTCCAACTATGTAATTTGGTAGGAACAGTCCTGGTTCATCTTCTGCTGTCCCACTTTCTCAACAGTTTTTAAAATGTCAGTTTCATCTCCCCCCACTTTTCCCTTTGGCTCTCACTGCAAAGTGAGTTCCAAGTACAAAAGTAGTTGGACTCCATTAACTCAGCAGGATGGAGAGGAAGGCAAGGCAAACTTTCCTAGTTTATGCACTCTTCCACGTGCCCTGGTGGCACAGTGGTTAAATGCCTGTACTGCAGCCACTCACTCATAGAGCACAAGGTTGTGAGTTCAATACTAGCCAGGGCTCAGGCTAAACTCAGACCTGCATCCTTCCAGGTCGCTAAAATGAGTACCCAACTGTTAGGGGGCAATGAGCTTACAGTTGTAAACTGCTTAGACACCCCATAGCGCGGTATAAAGCGGTATATAAATGAAGCTTCTTTTGCTCTTGTGCCATCTTGACCACAGTCTGAAGTTGCTTGGCTATATATTTCCTACTTTTCATCTGTGAAATGTTAGAGGGTATACATGCAGAATAATAATATTGCACAACACATGTCAGTGACTGGGTGCTGTAGCACTATATGCAATGTTGCTGTGTGTGCAACTCTGCTTCCACCACTGGCAGCAAAATACATCTATTGTGCATTGATGAATATTTCACCCCACATCTGTAGCATAACTTATATGTACATATGGCCCTAGCAAAATGGAAGCCAAAGACTGTTTGAGCCATATTGTTTAAACTCATCCCTCCACATTTGCGGCTTTGACTTTTGCGGATTTGATTATT